AAAAAAAAAAAAAAAAAAAGTTAGCCAGGCACGGTGGTGCACACTTGTATTTCTAGCTATTCTGGAGGGTGAGGCAGGAGGATCATTTGAGAGGTCAGGAGTTGGAGGTTGCAGTGAGCTGTTGTCAGGCCACTGCACTCCAGCCTGGCAGACAGAACAAGACCTTGTCTCTTTGAAAAAAAAAAAAAGAAGAAGGATACATTGGCTGTGGTAAGGGAGATGGTACTATCAGACTAAGCCAGCAGTGTCAGGGAAGGTCTGCAGCCACCATAGTTTCCTGCTCTATGTTGATGGCCACTGGTATTTATTGTATACTATTTGTTAAGAGCTTTCCTCACAGAGGCTCTTCCAACAAACAGCTCTCTTAGAAGCATATGTTCCTTCCTAGTCCAAGGTGGCCAGAGCAGAATGTTATAGGCAGATCAGTAGTCCATCCCCTGTAGACCCCCTCCTTACATGGCCAGCTCGTAGGGAGGACAAGGTGTCTTCCTGGGGGTTGGGATGGATTCTCCGGGCACTGTGCTCTCTCCCCTGCCTGCCTTCCCCCAATTTTCCCTGGCCCCCATGGATGGCTCAGGCTTCCCAGAAGCAATTTCAACCTGTCCCCGTCATGTGCAGGCCTTGAGAAGTCTCATGCTTTGTCATTTCAGGGGAGCAGCAGTGGAGGAGGTAGTGGGAGCAGCGGCAACCTCCTGACCAACGCCCGCTCCTGGGGAGTGAGGATTCTACACGTGGACGGTACCATTCCTGCCCCAGGATCCTGTGGAGAGGAGAGTTGGTGACTTTGGGAATGTCACCTTTTAGAGGCATGATGGTTGTGTAAGCATCTGGTGGCTGGAAGCCAGAAGTACTCAGTGACCATGTTGATCCACAAAGGTGAGAGGGTGTGGGGGAGGAGACAAGCGGTAATGACAGCTGAGTGCGGGCTGTGGCCTCAGCATTGTACAGGTACCTGGAACATGCTATTTGGTTTAACCCACTACGGCTCTCTTCAAGCTAGTGTAATAATCCTATTTTCCAAATAAGGAAATGATCCTAATATTCATGGCCCCTTATCAGGTATTTACTCTGTGCTAGAAATTACTTCATTTAATCCTCACAGCAGTCCCACCCACATTGTACTGATGAGGAAGTTGAGGGATTAGGTAAATTGTCCCTGGTCTCACCCATTGTCCATGGTCCTCCAGAGTGAGTAGTGTGGCCCGTGTTCCAACCCAGTTTGACCTGACTGTAAATTTTGTGTTCTTTCTTTTCTGTAGGATTGCCTCAAACTCTAAACAACCTGTTTGTGGGCTGTAATAAATTTATACTAGAATAGTTGCCCTAATGGGCCAGGCACAGTAGCTCACACTTATAATCCCAGTACTTTGGGAGGCTGAAGTGGGAGGACTGCTTGAGGTTAGGAGTTCAAGACTAGCCTGAGCAAGAGTGAGACCCCATCTCTACAAAAAATAGAAAAAATTAGCCAGGCTTGGGGGCATGCACCTGTAATCCCAGCTGCTCAGGAGGCTGAGGCAGGAGGACCACTTGAGCCCATGAATTTGAGGTTGCAGTGAGCTATGCTGATGCCACTGCACTCTACCCAGGGTGATAGAGCAAGACTCTGTCTCAGAAAAAAAGAATAGTTGCCCCAAATTGGCTAGCAGTGACTAATCTCATACCCAGCTTCACTCTGACTCTGGGGTTTTCTTGATTCATTTTAGGGGGTTGGTGCAGATGAGACAGACCCCAGGTGCTAACCAGGGTGCTGCTCCACCCTTTGGTACCAAGAGCTTCCAGGGGAGTCTAGGGGCTGTACAGGAGAAGTTCCTGGTCTGGGGTGTAGAAGGCTCCATCTCACTGAAAAATCAGCCATTTCTGATTTGATCTCATTTCATGTCCTCAGTGTTGGAGAAGCTCCAATGTGCTTAGCCCCTGCTGGGTCTTTCACCTAAGGGTACATCTGAGTAGCTCATATGGCTTGGTCTTTCCTGCAGAAGCAGCTCTTCAGTAGTACTTTAAAGAACTTAGTGAGTCATAAGGCACCTCCTATTCAATAATGAGTTGTAACTGATGCTACAAAAGCATGAAGCCAGCTTAGGTGCTTTTCTGGGGATAGAGGACCTAGCCCTTACTTCTGTTGTCAGGAGATGCAGAGGTGACATGTAGCCAGAAGGTGGCAGGCAAGGCTGGTATGATCCAATGGGCTGGGCTAGGGAGAAGTTTAGTCCTGTAGCCCTGGAAGGGGCTGTGCTGGATAAATGAGGAGTGGAAGCCTTTGGCCACAGCCTTCTGTCTTCTCCATAGAAATGATGATGCACGTGCAGCAGCTGTCTCTTGGTCCTTTATGTGTGAAGAAACAAAAGCCGAAGAAACCAGAGGTAAGTCATCCTGCTAAACTAAAGGGCAGATGGATGGTTTTCAGTGAAGTCTATGACAATCCATGGCCTGCCCAAGCCATCTCTTCCTGGCCATTCTGGAAGAGGAGCGAAGCCTCTCAGTTACCTCATTCCTGGTGTCCACAGTGTTGCACTGCCCTTTCTTCTTTTCCCTGTGGTACCTGCAACTGTTCCATGGCACACTCACCCTGCCAAGGCATCACTATGGCCTGAGCTGTGGGCTGCCTACGGTAGTCCTGGCCTAGATAAAATTCATAAATGCTCGTGGCCTGGGAACGAGCCTAAAGACTGGGGGTGGAAGGTTGAAATAGCTGCCATCTTCCAAATTCTTGTTTGTTTTTTCCATTTGTTTTTCTGTTTTTTTTTTTTTTTGGAGACTGGGTCTCACTCTATTGCCCAGGCTCAAGTACTGTGGCATCAGCCTAACTCACAGCAACCTCAGATTCCTGGGCTCAAGCAATTCTTCTGCCTCAGTCTCCCGAGTTGCTGGGGCTACAGGCATGCGCCACCATGCCCAGCTATTTTTTATATATATATTTTTAGTTGTCCAGCTAATTTCTTTCTATTTTTTTTTTTTTTTTTTTAGTAGAGATGGTGTCTCGCTCTTGCTCTGATCTCTAACTCCTGAGCTGAAACAATCTGCCTTCCTTGGCCTACCAGAGTGCTAGGATTACAGGCGTGAGCCACCACACCTGGCCTGTTTTTTTCATTTCTTTGGTGTGGTTAGAACTGTGTGTACTACATCAGGAGAGCCCAGGCTGACTTAAAGCCATAGAGTCTTCACCCAAGCTTAAGTCCGAGGAAGGAGTAAACCTACTAGTCCACTCCAGGCCTGGCATCCAGGAGCAGAACTGACAGCAGCAGCAAACCACATCCAAAGTGGATGCAGGGCTGAGCTCCTTACACTCCTGTATGCACACTCCGTGCTCTAGGAGTTTTAGGGGTTTTGCTACTGCTTAATAGATTTGTGTTGTTCAAAATTCAAAAGGGTACACAATGAAAAGTCTATCTCCTCTCTAGCTTCTGCTCCCCAACTACTGACCTCCCTCCTTGACATAAACAATGTGAACAGTTGCTCAGGTATCTTTCTAGGACTCTATACACATATTAATACAAGCAAATACATCAGAAATTCCCCCTTTTTATGCAATGCACAGCATTTTTACTTTGCTTTAACTTAATCTGTTTTGTAGATATCTAAGTCTTTTGGAGTGAGTTTTGGATATAATCTGCTAATATGCAAAGGACTGTGGAAGGCTTCTCTGGGTTGTACTTGCCCTCAAGGTGTGGCCTAGAAGAGAATCGGGAACCTCCTTGCGTCCAGAGTCACAGAAAGTCATGGATCCACTGGATCTCTCCATCTGGGTCTCCCAGCTCTTTAGCTGATTTTTTATTTTATTCCATTTAGTTTTTATTTTATTTTATTTTTTCAGGTATACATCACCAAAAGATCCATTTAGTTTTGAATATCAGCTTTGTTTGACCTTGGCTTAAACGTTGTTTTTGACCCACAGGGTTAGGGTGTACAAGATAGGGCATATGGCAAGTGGCCATTGTCTTCACCCTTGTCCTGTGAGATCACCTGTAACTGCAGCAGTGCCTAGAAAATAAAGCTGCCATTTAGAGACCACCTACTCTGTGTCAGGTCTTTGCATGCTTTAATCTAATTCGTGCACATCCTATGAGATAGGCACAGCTCCGGTTCCCACTCAGGCCTGTGCACTCAGAGCTCTTGCTGTTTGCACTGTCCTGCATTCCCTCCAGAGAGTCAGCTGCCATCGAGATTCACACACTGCGTGCTCACCATTCATCATGTTGCCGAGGAGGCAGAGGGAGCCATTGTGCCCAGGTCTGCTCTAGCTCAAGACCTGTGAGTCTGGTTCTGCAGGTCTCACAACAGCAGGAAGCGAAGTGGGACAGACTGGCAGTGACTGGGCTTCTCGGGCCCAGTTCCTCAACCCCTGTGGCTCCCTCACATCCTTAACCTATTTTCCCTTTCCATTTAGGGAACATGTCCAGCAGCAGAGTCAAGAACACGGAAAGGTCAGTGTAGTAGCTTTTCCTCATCTAATTGCAATCCCTCCCTCCCTGAACACTTCCCCACGACTCCCTCTGTGGCAGCATCTGCTCACTTTTCTGTGGCAGGAAGCGAGTCCAGGTTGCATTGCCCCCTCGTGTTTCCAGGGCTTGGCCTCAGGTTTCTGGGGTGAGAGAGGTAAGTCCAAAGCTGCTGGGCCGGGGCTTCTACTCCTTTAGAGCCAAGACCCCATGCAACACTTTGGCTCTTGCATCCTCTGGCAGTTCCTGGGCATTGATTGAAGTTCAGCATCCTTTTCCTTCTGATTCAATAGCAGTTTGGGGGTGGGCAGTTTGACAGCTGCCTACCGCTTTCAGAACTGCCAAACTCCCTGAAACTGACAAACAGGCAGATTGATGGACTCCGTCTACTGGCTTCTCTTGGACAGCAGGGGAGTTTCTCTCCCTGGATGTTTCTCCCAAAGATGCACTTTAAGTGGCATTTATCTGTGCACAAACAGGAGCTAAGAAAAGTCACTTGGCACCTCTCTCATGCTCAAAATTCAGGGAAGTCTATGGGGGAATTGATTTTAATCACTGTCTCAGTTAATTAGAAAGACAAGAAATTGTCCTAAAGAAGTAATTAATGGGAGCTGCTGCTCAAGGAGAAAAGGCTGCTTTTTGCTTGGATGCTAGCAGTGGCCTTGAGTACATTTGGGAGCTGTGAGGTGCCAGTGTCTTTGGGGAATCTGTGGCTGTCAGGTCTGGCCAGGCTTCCAGCCTGCCTTGGCTACCCCTTTGACAGGACTCCTGGTCACTGTGAGGTTAGAAGTGGTTCTTAATGCTTAAGAGATTTTGTAAACTATGCAAATAACTAGCTAGTAGGGAGTGAATCTCTTGATTAATTGACTCCAAATTTGTCTTCTCAGCACCCGTTTGCCCTATTTTTTCAGGAACCAGATTTTACCTGTGATATTTATCTGCCATCCTGTTACTAAGATTACTTAATAGTCTTTTTCCCTCTTCCTCTCTGCTCCCCCCACAAAAACACCCAGGGTCCCCATGGAGAATTCCACCTGCAGAGTATTCTCAAGCCTCTCAGGATTCGGAGGCACCAGGATCAGAGGTCTAGAGAGAACCTAGTACTTTGTGGAACTGACCACCCTAATCCTGCTTTCAGCAGAAACCAGCAGGGTCTGAGTTTCTCCCATGGCCAGGTTTCTCATAGTGGCATCCTGAGTTAGTTGATAGTCTCCAGAACCCACACACAGGAGCTCCTGTGTCCTGCTGAGGGAGGGCATGTTTAGGGCTGCAGTTACCCTGCAGCTTCCCCCTGACTAGTGCAACGTTTCTCCCAGGCAGAGAGGCTGGAGGAGATTGGAGGGGTGCCTCACCTCTGCCAAATGGAAAGGCACAGCTTGGGACGGCATGATTTCCAGCTCTTGCGAGATTCTTAGGCTTTGGCAGAGCCTTGTTTCCCTGAGCATTTCCTGCTTGTATAGTGCAGGCCCTGCGCTGGGGCAGACAGCTAATATGTGTGTTCTTCCCCTTCCAGTGGCCAGACTGAAGGCACCATTCCTCAAAATCGAAGATGAGAGCAGGTGAGTGGGACCTCCTCTCTGCTCGCTCCTGCACAGAGAAGGGAGAGGTGCTTAGGGGCCCCAAATTGACCTGGGGACATGGAGCCCTTCAGCCCTGCACCTTCATCTTCCCTAGAAACCACTTTCTGTCACTGTAATGAAGAAGTCTCACCAAGACCAGGAGCCTCTGAGTATTGTACAATTGATGCTGCTCTTGGAGTTGAGTCAGAGGTTAATAGTCCTGTTGTGAATTACCTCCATTTAATGCTCTGCTTCTGTGAGCTCATAATGTCCCAAACCAGGCTCATTACAGCTGCTCGTTTCTCCCTGGATGTGTGCTAACAGTTAATGCCGAATCATTACTGGCCCAGCCACAGTGCTAGTACAGTGCAAGACATCATCTTGGCTGAAGTGAGGACGCTGGAGCTGCTATTGGGGATTCCCTTACTAGAGCACCTGTACTTGATGAAGCCTTTCTGTTTGGCTTTGAAAAACTCTTTTCTGGCTTATGGGATCTCATGACAGCCCTGGATGAAAAAAGCATGATGCTAGCCGGGCGAGGTGGCGCATGCCTGTAGTCCCAGCTGCTCGGGAGGCTGAGGCAGGAGGATCGCCTGAGCCCAGGAGTTTGAGGTTGCTGTGAGCTAGGCTGATGCCACGGCACTCACTCTAGCCC